AAATGTAACGCAACACTGGACACAGTTGATTTACACTGAATGTGACTGAGCTATACTCTAGTGGTGTCGGATATTGATCTCTACTTCTAAATTTCTCTATGTCTCGAACCCCTTTGCTTACCTATATGGACTGTTACCCTGCTTGAACGAATATACCTACACATACGCGGACATAGTTAACAGCTATTCTTTCAATGATTCATTTTCGAACAATTATCATAGTATATAAGAGCAGAACAAGTAAAATCGACCCGGTTACTACAAGTTACATAGATCACATGTGGTCAGTGTCGGAGACGAAAAAGCAAACTACACCATAATGGGTTGGTTACGTGTTTGTTGGCTCACTTAGAATAACTAACCGATATTAGTTGGATGGCTTCTGTTGATTAGGTGGTCTTTAGCACCCAACCACCAGCCATTTCGGATAGGGATCCCCCCATCTTGTCTCAGAGAGCCTCGTTGTATGGCCAATGTAACGTGTTCCACATAAATAGAATTGAATGAAAATGCATATTTATTTAGTATGGACAAGCTTCTTTGTATTAGAGCCAAGGTTGTTCATTGGGCTGGTGGTGTAATGGACCTAAATCTTTGGTACTGGGAACGTGTGTTTGAGTGCATGCAAAATACAACGAGCTATGTGTTCCGCAGCAATTTCGCCTTCATACGACAGCGATAACATCCTGTTTTCATCTTGACCGTAAAGCCTACACTGTAGTCTTCTTTTTCTGTAGTGGCCATTTCCCCTCAGCACCTGGTACGTGCGCTTCCGTTTCTCGAAGAAGAGGGTTTACTCATACTCTTTCGACTTAGCTCATTGGGCTTGAAGTTTGATTCCGTTTGTAAGTGTGGAAGATCGCGCATTATCCGTCCCATGTATTGCACTGTAGCACAGCGTCATCGAACCTCTCCGCGTCGACCTTAAGAAAGTGAAATAACTATGTTCTTCTGTTTTGGAACTTAACTTTAACGCTCAGTGTGCTTAGTTGACGGCGTGCGAGCTCTTCTATTGAAGCAATGTAGAGATGTCAGCGAACGACATTGTAGATTGAGGCTTGTGATGACCCTGTTCTCTTGAACCGATTACTACTCTGCTTTTGCGCACACAGTTAGGGTTGTCCCTGTTCGAACAGGTTTAGAAGGAAGACGCCATCCGAGCTAACTGTAGTGAATCGATTTTACTGGCGATATACAAGGTGAGCAGCTGCACCGATTGTGCAAACCGTAGGGGTAGGGTGCTTAACACCAGTGGTGACAAATTACTAACCTCAATTCTCCTTCGTCGTCTCCCTGCTGAACAGGAATCCTAGTTTCCCCACAGTACGGGGCTGTATAGAACATATATTCACTCTACAGTAGGGGCTTAAGCAGCACCACGCATACCACAGACCGACAATAGTTGTGTTCTTCGACTTCGAGAGTGCATTCGACTCAGTTGATCGATGTCTTCTGTTCGAAATACTTGTGGGGCGAGGTGTTCCCATGAATATGTGGACATTTTACGTACCATGTACTCGAACACCACAGGCCGCATCAGGGTCTACGGTGACCTGTCGGATACCTTTCCGACGACAAGTGGCGTTCATCGGAATTGCTCAATTTCTCCATTTTTGTTTACCTCCACTCTGGACCATCATAGAATGTTCCCTTGCAACGTTACCTTGTGGAAATGTCATTTATCTTGATTATGCGACAGTAATGTCTTGCTGTTTAACGATGTCGGGTCGGCCCAGTCAACCCTGAATGAACTCTATGTAGTGGTCCCATCATTTAGCATGCTCTTCACACTTACGAAATGCAACGTGTTGTGCAGGCTCACTCCGATAACAGTATCTTATAGTTGCAACACGCATAATACGTATAATTAATGCATAAGCACTGGTAAGATAGTACACATAATCTGCTGACATCTGTCCGCAGTCAAAAACACACCCACAGACAATCGAAACACCAACTATGAAGTCTTTCTCCTATAGCCTACCAGCACCAACGTGTCTTCCTCTGCAGTCCTCTTCTATTCGTTATTAATTTGTGGAAGCTTATATATATATATATATATATATATATATATATATATATATATATATATATATTATATGCAGCAACCGTTTCTGATCACTTCACCTAGCTTGGCAACTGGATTAGCAACTGAAGTCAGCTCACATATTGCAAAAGCTATGACTGTCTTCTGGAATCTGTGGCATCGGAAATGGATTTCTCTCTGTCTGCAAAACCGTGTATACAATGGCCAAACTAAGGGCTGTCCTACTCAATAGGAGTAAGACTTGCCCCCTTCAGTCTGAGGACCTAAGGCGCCCATGTCTTTGATTATTGCTGCCTGCGAAGCATACTATGTGTAGGATGGCCCCAACGTGTCCGCAAGGATGATACACTTAGACATGTGCTGGATAGCGATAATCAAACTAGTTCCATAGAACGACAGATAGCACTGAATAAGTTAGATGGGAGCCACGTTTCATCAACGGAGTCCGGCCATCCCAAGGAATAATGATGGAGAACACCACGTTCGCAACGGAGATGTGAGACGTTGCGTAATACGAGCCTCCCCCTCGGCAAGCTAATATCTGTGCTCCAAGGTAAAAAAAAAAACAAGACACGCACGCTGTATTTGGGTAATCGAGCTCCATGACATCACCGGTGTCTGAAGAAATGTTTGAAGTCTGTGGATTTGAAAAGCTTGTCAGCATAAGCTTAGCAGTGAATTTATTTAGTGGCGAGTCACATCCGCCACGTCACAGTGCTATTAAGCAGACATTTGTGGCTTTTTATTGGGAGAACGTTTGCCAGGCGAAAAACCACCACCTCCTGAAACGGTGTCGCCAAACTATTTGCTGGAAAGACTTAAACCTGAACCACCCAGCTGGCACCACGGGGAGGTTTTTCGGCTAGCCGTGCGGCCGCTTTCTACTGCGCACTCTATTGATTCACGCAGGGCCGCATTGGAAGAAATCGCACGGTGGGTAACCTACCACTCGGCAACAAAACGTCAAGACGGTGACTTCCAGTCTACCTGTTATCGAGCCCGTACATATTCCGGGCTCTGGAGCCAAAGATGAAGAAAACTGGTGCATGGAGACTCTTGAGGACATGGCGCGTAATCGGGGAAAATGAGTCTATGCATTGATTCTGCTGCCTAATAAAAGGAAAACGGCGTGTGAAGAACACGAAACACTACTTTTTATATTTTTTCATTGTTGCTCTTTGTACAAATTATGCACCTTCATTCCATTGTTTTGCCTGGCTTTAAGTAACTTGTGGACATTTTTTATTTATCGCTTATTCGTTGCTAGCCAACTTACTTCCTATGCTAATTTAGCGAAGAGTTATGCCACCGTATCTGTATGCATTATTCTATTTGTTTTTATTTCATCTTGTCGTTTCAAGTGATTGGCTGTTGCTTGATATCCCCGGTGTGGCTGCGCTTGATGTGCATGTTGACAAGGTGCCTACCCGTCTATTACCCACTACCTCGTCCATACTGCCTACAGGAGACAGTTGGTCGTTGCTGGAGGGGACGGCGTGCGCGGTCCTTGTGGTCGTGCCAAGCTGTAAGAGTGGTTCCATGCACTCAGTGTGGAGCGGACTACGGTCCAGCCACCGCCTTGTGTGCGCTTGATTTCCCAAATACAGCGTGCTTGTGAAGGAGTGTGGGCCGGCTCCGTTGATGAAACGTGGCTCCCACCCACATGCCTCCCGGTCTTATTACCTCGGGTTTACACTGGACGTGGGTGTGTGGATGGAGCTGTGCGTGGTGCAGCGCAAGCCCTCATTGGTCCCTCTGTAGCCGCAGGCGTCCTGTGGCTGGCCACAGTGACAGACAAACCCGAAACCGTATGCCGCCAACTATATATATATATATATATATATATATATATATATATTATATATATATATATATATATATATAACAGTTTACACGGTAGACTTAAAGCCATGTAACACAATGGAATGAATGTGCATAATTTGTACAAAGAGCAAAAATGCAAATGCAAAAAGAAGTGTTTCGTATGCTTCACACGCCATTTTCCTTTTATTAAGCAGCAGAATCAATGCATAGACTCCTTTTTCCAGATTACGCGCCATGTCCTCAAGAGTCTCCATGCACCAGTTTTCTTCATCCTTGGCTGCAGAGCCCGGAAGTCGTACGGGGTCGACAACAGGTAAACTGGAAGTTACCGTTTTGATGTTTTGTTGCCGAGTGGTAGGTTGACCACCGTGTGATTTCTTCCAACGCGGCTTTGCGCGCGGTGGAAAGCAGTCGCACGGCTAGTCGAATAACCTACCCGTAGTGCCAGCTGGGTGATTCGGGTTTAAGTCGTTCCAGCAAATACTTTGGCGACACCGTTCCAGGACGTGGTGGGTTTTCACCTGGCAAACGTTCTCCCTATAAAAAGCCACAAATGTCTGCTTAACAACAATTCACCCTGACCGACGTCCTAACATGTGATTGATGCTTAGAACCATCCCCCTGAATTTATCCAGTTAATACGAGTAGCTGCATTTAAACGCACACCGTTTGACCAACTCTTGTCCCCCGCTCTAAATGTGTGCGTGTGTTCGAAATACTTTTTCAGCCGTGATATCCGGTGTGAATCAGCTATCCTCAAACGCGGTCATGTCTCGGATACCGCGATTGCGGCGGTAATTTGCTTTCATGACCCGTCGGCTGGTCTACTTTGTGATGACTCATGACAGAGTGCTTGTTGTGCTGGGTCGCCGGTTCGGTCGGCCGACCAAACTGGTTTCCACCCACACGCTTACCCCTTTCATTCTGTTTAATCTACTCTTGTGCCATTGTTATCGGAGCCGCTGTTTCATGCCAAACGCCGTTGCACAAGTACCCTTCGACCTCCATCACTGACATGAGCAGATCCGCACGCGACTGATGAAGCTGTCCTCTTCGCTATGTCGCCAAGTTTGTTGCTGTTTGTCGCTACAAACTTCCAATGCAGTCTGCCTTTTTCTTTTCTCTGCAGGTGTCGTTGCTAATGTTTCGTCAGTTCCAACTGGTAGACTGCGATTGTGTTCGCAGGGTATCGGCACGCCCTTATCGTCTGAGGTGGTTTCCTTCCGAAACGAAAGATGCTCAAGTGTTTACTCAGCTACCCCCTTCTGCTCTGAAACGATCAGTGGCCACTGTTACACTGGGGATGTCCCGACGAACAAGTATGTTATTGTGCGGGTCTCGCCCAAGTTTTTCTCCCTTTTAGCTTTACGGTGAAAATTCAAGTGCGAAACACCGTTTTCTTTTTGATACTCAATTTCTAACATCAACCGCGCTTTTTCTCCTTGTCCACACTACTTTTGAATGCTATCCCAGGAGTTTATCGTAATTTGGAACATGCAGCCGCTTTTTTCTTCAACCTGAGTCCGTCCGTCAAAGCTACTCAGACTGGCCGAGTTACAAATTCCCGACACGCGTTCGATCGTTCCACGCCGTCTACTCTGTTTACGCTATTAGTGGCCTTGGCGATTTCTAGCGCCTCAGCAAATAATCTTTGGCTTGTTCTCACTCCACTCCTAATGAGCTCTACATTGTCCCAGTCGATTGCGTGTCCCGAGTCTAGCGCATGTACCGCTACCGCCGAATCTTTTAGTAAGGCTTTGTATTCAGGCTCATTTCTAGGTAGGCGCGAAACGTGCCTCTTGTGTTGTGCTATCCCAATGCGCAGTTCTCTCACTGTTTGGCCTATGTACACTTGTGCACAGTCCATGCAATTAATTTTATGGACGCAATTGGTCGTCCTATCTTTCGGAAGTGGGTCCTTCAAACGCACTAGTGCTAAACTTATCGTTTGACATCTTTGGTAAACCACTTTTATCTTCTTGTTTTGTATCAGCCTGATCGCTTCAGAATTTCCCCCTTTATAAGGGATTCCCACCGTCCTAGTCCACTCCGTCGTACGTCGTGAAGGGAGGTTAGCACTCTCTGGAATTGTAGTGTTTAACAGCAGGGCCCTACAAAAAGATTAAGAAGAAAACAGTATCATCGGTAATGAATAAGAATAAAACGGTTAGCAACTACTTTAGAAGTGTAAAGGATAGCCTGGGGTAGGGTAAATTGTATACTATTTACCCGAAATCAACCCTTCCACCGAAGACCTATGGCCTACCGAATATACATAAGCCCAACATTCCATTCGACCCATTGTGGATCGTATCGGTTTTCCGACCCACGAACTAGCCAGATATCTGATAGGTTTTTTAAAGCCCCTAACATGAAAAACAATAACGTTTATAAAACTCTTAGAAGTTCGCGCGAAAGGCGGCAGGTTCGGTCATTGAGTCAGACAAAATAATGGTCAGCTGATGTGAGAGAAAAAGTAAACTTTGAATTTCGTACACGTGGTAGAGAAAGTGAGCATTTTGAAAGGTCTCTGTGCAGTGGATGAAGTCAATCAGTTAGTTACTTTGAAGAAAAATTATTGCAGGTATCAAGATGTCTAGAAATGATCAAATCAACTTTCGATTGTTGAGTTTGTATGTGTCTTTTTCCCACATATTCATGTACCATGCCATATGTAGTCCCGTTTTAGGTTATCAATTTGACTGCTTACACAACGTAAGCACTAAACGCCAGTCATATTTAACACATTTAGCATGTAATCGTCATCGCACAAACTTATGAATCCTATGAAAATTACTCGAAAACACGTTTTTATCCATCTCGTGTTTTTCTCCTTGTGTAGTCTAGCGTGTGCGTGGCATGTAAGTGGACAGTTCCCGGGTTCTCACACTTCCTTGTCCGAACATGGTTTCTGGGCTAGCGCTGTTGTTCGTTAGCGTCCAAATCGTGGAACCAATACTCCGATCGATGTTGAACATTTCAACGACATGGTTCCATAAATATAGATTCCCTTCGGGGATTAACGCATAGTCAGTCTCTTGGCCGCTCCTAATCTTATTGATTTATGCTGTGCCCCCATAGGTCACCTTGCTGCTCGTAACAATTGACACTCTTTAGATCTTCATTCTTCATTTACTATAACTGCCTGTAATTCTGACCGACAGCATACACACTACATCGAACACATTGTACCGGTACGTAAGATACGTAATCCCATGACGAAACGTCCAATCGACTCCTAGTATAACACACCGCTTTGGTTATTAAAACTAAGTTTGCGATATTTAGTGTCTCATTGCTTCGCGCTGTTACTCTCTTATTACTTGAACACTTACTGTTACTCTTCCTAAAGCCCGAATTCAACCTCTTCCATTCGGAATTCGTGGTCCGCCTCATGCGAATCTCGGACATTTGCCCATCGAGGAAATGTTCCCATTTCCATCTGCCGAAACTCACGCCGGGCCACTGATGATGATCCACGGAACCCTGTTTCATCATCCACCGTAACGGGTACTCCTTTTGCCACCTGCGTTCTTTCAACTCCCCCAACCACTACGCATCCGACTGTCTGCGTGTCATCCATCCCTTCGGAGCACCAGTCACGAAGGTCCGCTGCTACAGAGCCGCGCTCTATCCTCTCACTGGATGATTCCTCGTCCGACCTGTCGGTGCAATCTTGCAACGAGAGTCGACCCTCCTGCACCGCTCCGGTATTACGTCCCCCGTGCCCTCCGCTCAGAACCACTTCGTTGGTCCGCTGTTCTCCCCGTACCACCTGTGGCCCTCCGCTCAGTATACCTTGCTCAACTGCCGCCTGCTCTTTGACCGAACGATCGGATTTTCTTCACACTGTGAGTTGCCAGTCAATGTTCCATCCTTCACAGTTAGTATCCGGCGCTAACTACTTGCAGTAGGGGGCCATTTTAATTGTCATACCTTTATACCAGGTTCTCAAATGCGACTTTTCATGCGCATAGAAACAGCAATCATACCACTGTCTCCCATTTCTTTTTTCTTGATGTACCTCTTGCGGTGTCATTTGTGCCTTCCGTTTTTCTTCCCCTCCGCCAGCCATGAAAGCATTTCCAATGACCTTGTAATTTTGTCGGCCGGTGACCGAATGGGTTACGCACTTGTCTTGCACTCGGCAGGTCGCCGGGTTCGAATTCGCCTAAGTGTAGGCAACCTCACGGTATAGTTGGCCCACACTCGACGGCTGGTGATTGCGTGGCAGTGAAATGTCGGCACAATGTGCTGGTGTACTGCTAATGTCTTTTCTTTTCCTTGATCTCGTTGGAATTCGCCGACTATCGCTAATTGATTCAACTTACTACCATTCCACTCTCATGGATTTTGCATCCGTTGCCAGCTAGCAAGACGTTAACAGTTCGCCCCCTTGTTTTCCTCTCCTACTCTTACTGATCATGCTGATGACGAATACTAGGGGAGAAGACTAAAATCGGATGCCTCGGACAGAAATTCAGCGTCATGGCGTCTGCACTGGTTTAACACCATTATGTCACAACCCGTTGGCTCGTCGACGTTAGCGAGGCAGCTTACTTTTGACTTTCACTGCTTCGTATCACAGACAACCTTGTCCCCTCCCCACACCTCTCATTATGCAAATCACAAACAGGCAACCTGACTAGGAAACGACTGCGCAAACGAACCACCGTATCCGGCATTGGATCATGCCCTGTAGGATTTCAAGCTAAGCACAGCATGGGTGGCGTTGATTCCAGTCTGGCAGGGGACACAAACCGAGTGAACTCAGTCTTGCAGTTTCTAACTCCATATCTCGCTGCGATTATCCTCTCAAACCTTGCGCCTTCCTAGATAACATAAACGAAGCATCATTCATATAACTACTCTAGCTGGAAGTGAGAAACATTTCAGCGCTTGTGCCGCGGCACAATTTGAGTGGAGGACTGCGGAATGGAAAAATAAATGTAGTACACGCTACTTCGACTCTTTGAACGAGCCAACCGGCCTGACTGTGCACATCCGTGTACTGACTGGGATCCAGTCGATCAGATCAACTTGAGTCCTGGGGGCTCAGTTACATAGCCACATTGACTTGACCGGTATTTAAAGCTGCATCATCTCCGGAGACACGCAGGGCTAAAGTCCCGTCAATATCACATCTGACGGTGATGCTACCATCACGACGAGACTGGACCTTAACGTGGTGCGATGGTTTATGTGCCTCAGTAATCCATTGAGCTATGCTGGGTGGTGCTTTTTGCATCTTCAGATCCACTCATACCCAGATTGGTCAATCGTTAGAGGCCACACAAACTCAGTCTCCTGACCCTCCAGGTTGGGGGTTGGAGTGAGGTTGGCTCCTTACTCCATAAAACAGGCTATCCAGTGCCAAAACCCCGCTACCTTGCGATAAGTTTTTGAACCGAAGGCTTTGGTTGAGAACTCTAATCGTTCTCCTGTCTAGATCTGGACAACCTGACAGTATCCTGCCCACGCAATACAATGGACCTTTCTTCTAACAATTTCTTGATGCTCTGGCCGTCGCAGAAGATAATCAGTGGTGCCCTATCTGCTGCATCGCGCAGGATGGATAGGGGTTTAGATGCTACTGTTCATGCCTTCCCTTCTTCTTATCCTCCTTGCGATTTTTCATCCTTATCGTCCCTCTCCAACTTTGCTTTTATCCCCCATTTTCAACTCCTCCATTTTTGGTCCTCTTCCACCTTGTTTGAATAGTCGCTTGTCTTTTAGTTTAAATTCACGCTTAGTCGCATGGCATCGCTCTAATCTTGTCGACAATTCCATGTTCAACCAAGCGGACAACGTCAGTTTATCAGCTTCCCTTTGGAGTCCTCGATGCTCTCTAATACTGGCATGCGTCAACGTGCGCACTTTGCTACAGGTTGGCCAACATGCAGCCCTTGCCCGCACACTAGACCCTATCGATCCATATTTGCTGTTTATCAGAAACCTGCCTGCAAGATTCGAGCTCCGTGCTTACCCTGCGATCCCCCACATGCGACACTGGCGGCACATTCTCATAGCGCCTATCTGGCGACGATGCAGCTTCAAATGCCGGTCAAGCTGGCGTTCGGCATTGTTTTGAGTCCCCGAGCTGAAGTTGCCCTGATCGATTGGATCCCAGTCAACAGTCGGATGTGCGCCGTTGGATTAGCTGGTTCGTTCCATGCTTCGAAGTCGCGCGGGGAACAAACGGTGCCTGTTTGTCATTGCGGCCTACGCCCCTACAAACTGTAGCACTGATTCGGTGAAAGATAATTTCTATCACCAACTTAACGATCTCCCTCGTTACAGAAGATGCACGGATACTTTGGATTTGGCTGGTGATCTAAAAGCCCAAGTCGGAAAATTGTCCTCTGATGATCTGCATCTGCGCGGCCAACATGGTGTAGGCTCCTGTAATCATAACGGTGAGCAATTGCTACAGCTGTGTGAAAATGTTGGTCTCCTTCTCGCGAGCACAAACTTTCGACACAGCACGCGCAGAAGCGTGACTTGGTGCCCACCACCTTCGCATCAGTCATGGATGCAAATTGATCATACCGCGATCAGTTACCGCTGGAGAGGCTGTGTCCAAAACTGTCGCTCGATTTGGAGCACGAGCGTGAACTCTGACCACGCAACGTTGATGTGAACGGATTGACACCAGCCAGCTGGCGAAGAGCCGGCCCCAATGGCGTTTGTGTTGTGAGTTTCTTTGTCCATCTCCCTCCCTTTAGGTTCCCCCTCCAATCCCGATCTCATGCAAAACGCATAATATAATATTTAACATCATATTTTTTGTAGTGTAATTGTGTATTGTAGTGTAATTTTTTAGTCTCTTATCTTTTTGTATTGCGGCACATTAGCTGAGGTGTGTTTCTCACCCTTAGCTAACATGTACTGATGATAATGATGTGATGCTGCCTACCGTAGATCACGATAAGAACAAACTGTTCTACACTCTGTCTACCACAACTACCGAGGCCTATTATGGGTTCATGGAACGCTGTCACTTGATTTCCTCGCCTCGAGTACGATGCATCAATGTTTGATCTGCGTCCCATGCCCAAAGCTGTTGCTGATGCTGACAATGATACGTTGTTAAACGGACTGGGGAGAATTCCGAAGACCATTTTGTGAAATTGCAACGTTTGTTCTCTTTGTTCATTTCAGAATCAAGGGGTTGAGGGTTATATCGAACCAAGTGTAGTGTTTTCAGGCTAGGAGGATTGACAGATGAAGTCAATAAGCCAGGTGCACATATATCTTGGTGAAGTGGAATTTCTCTCAGATAACTAACAGCCAAGCCTGATGAAAGCATACGATATATAGGAGTCAGACTGCTCACAAGTGATAGCGAGTGTCACAAAGTCTGCCCTTCATGGATAAGCGGTTTCCGCAGCAAAGGCAGCTCGGCGAGGAATGCGGAATGTTTGACCCGCTGAACGTCTGAATATGTTATTCCTTAACTAATGACTTTTTTGACCGCCGATGTTTCTCCTTTGACTCACTTATGCAGACGGCGAGGAATTAGAAGATTTACTCTAACCTACTGGGGTGAATCCATCGCGACGCGCAAATACCCATCATGACCGTGATTCACTTTAAAGTGAACTTGGATCAATTCGGTCACTGTGCTCGCAAATGGACACTGGGGTTGCCCGCTTACAACACAACCGGTTCCGTATTTATCTAACCTCGTCAACTAGTTATAGTAAATCTTCGACTCGAACCGGGGATCTCAGGTGTGTCGGCCGAAAATTCTGCCCCTAAGCCACTAAGTCGCGGCGGAAAACGCTTGTCACGGTGGCTAATAGCTGGTTAGAGAGCCATTTTGAACCACGCACACACGAATTTCGTCCAATCAGCAGAGTTTTTTTGGATGAAAGACTACACCGGCTGCATCCAGTGATCGAACCGTCAGATTCATCTATTTTCAAATGTCTGTTTGACACATCCCTTGTGTTCAACTTTTCACTCTGCTAGGACACTCATCACATTGGTTAGACTGGCGCACGCTTCGATGTGCACATCACATTTTCAAGGCGTGGTTTCGGGATTCAGCCATCATCACTCTTTCTCTCGATCTTATATCGGTTTTCAATTCCTAGCTGCTGTATGATCTGTGGTTACTAAATCACTAGAAGCTTTATCGCCCACATCCGCATTTCTCATTGTGCTTCTCTCTGAACCTCCATCATAGTCTGGTAAGACGTCGAGACACGGACTCATCGACCAAGGGCAGGATGAGCATCCTCATGAAAATGTCGGTGTTGTCTGGAACAGAGTATCATATTAGAGGAACAGGCCCTGAGTTCAGAGAGGTTTGGAAACAATCGGTTGGTATAGTAGTTTGGTAACGTTTCGCCCTCGACACAAGGGCTTCGTCAGACCAGGTGAATCAGTGTGCAATTGGTGTGGGATTTTATAGCGAACAGGAGCGATAACCGCGTTACTCGAGACTTGAGCCATGATGTCATTACAATAACAGTTCGTGATGTCACCTCAGGTGGTTTGATCACAGTGGGAATAGTCCAAGGGTTCCTTTGTGCGTCATGACAATGACGGATAAGCCCATAGTGTTGAAAATGGGAGTCGGTTTGCGCTTTCCAATAGGATCCACGCACCGATGCTCGTCAAGCTGGCTGGCTTAAGACCGCCCGCCATGCATTAGGGAGTTCTACCCCCTCCATTCTATTCACGCAGTCGTCAGATTTAGCAATTTCCACCGCCTCGGCAATCAACCGCTGAGGGGTTGATCGTATACCCCTCCTAATGACCTCTACGTTTTCGAGGTCTATCTGGTGACCCTCTCTGAACTCATAACTACTCGATCGGTTCCAAGTATCTTCCAAGAATAGGAACAGGCCCTGTTGTAAAACCCAAACCTGCGGTAGTTGTGCCCTTCGAATCTAACAATTGGTGTCCGCTATCGTAACTGATCTGGTTCCGCCGCCATCTAACAGGCAGTAGCCATGCCATAGAATCATAATGTAACCGACCAGAAGGGTGATTCGGTGTTGAACTTTAAGTTCTACCACACGAGGATCATGATTGGACCAAATAACTGGCTGAAGATTCAGCCACACATTTGAACCATTCCATCTCTACTTTTCCAGCAATTTTCTCCATTCAGTTGGCTATGCTGTGCTCTTTCTTCTTTTTCCACCTGAGCTCAATTTGTCTTTGCTTCACTAATTTTGGTCAATCTCTTCATAGCAACACAATACTAAGTAACTGAATTTAACGTACCTGGTCCCCTCATCAGTATTATCCAGTTTATCTGCCTAGGTGTACTCTCGCGCTACGATTTGAAGTCCGTGAACAACACGAACAGACTATATCGTAACGAACTGCGCATGCTTTGGGCGCTCAAACGTAGCTTCGGCACATTGTCTGAAGAGATTGCCACTCGCCTCTTCTTTTCCATCATTAGACCAATGCTAGATTACGGTTCGCACGCCTACTTTCCAATTACACGTGGCGAGGCACAAAAGATCGAGCGGGTCCAACACGTTGCTACCAGGCTCATCCCGAGTTTACGTGGTTTGGGGTATGAAGACCGGTGCGAGAAACTAGGACTCTACACGTTGTCCTACCGTCGGATGCGAGTCAACCTCATTATGACCTACCGTATTCTACATCTCGGTGACTTCCCAATGCTAAGGCCAATGCTGCACTTACGAGGGCCATGCAGCACACGCGGACACAAATACAAACTTGTCGTGCCGGATGTGAAACGTGTTCCCCACCCACTGTGCTTCGAACAGAGAGTGGTAAATATTTGGAACAGTTTGCCTGCACGTGTGATGGAGGCAACATCTGTGCAGCAGTTCAAAGCGTTGTTGGATTTATATTTTACCACTATTCGATTCAGAGAACGATTGCACACTTACCATGACATATCACATTTGTGAGTCCTGAAATATCGTAATTCAGATATTTTAAATGTTACATGAGAACGACAACGATATTCACGGTTGACAACTTTTATAACGTTTTTCACCATATTTCGAAAGAGTTGTACAGAATTCATTTCTACTTGCTCTATAATACCGTATTCAGTTCCTATTTGTTGCTGTACTCTCAGCAATATATCGATTGACTCTGTCTTTCTGCTTTAGGCATCCACTTGCTCCCAATCCATCCATCCGGGTGCCACTCCCACCTGTACTATCTCACCGTTGGACAACGCGGATCAATTGGCTGATCGCGAAGTGGAGCTCACAGTTTCCCAATTGGATTCTATGTGGTGGTTACGCTTGTTACCTTACAAACCGTCTAACTTACCGGATTGTCTGGCTGACCGTCTGAGGCAGCGGAGTAGTCTCATGCTCTCGAGGTCCTCTCCAAATACCAGGCTCTCAAACAGCTCACTTCCTTTGGCGAACTTAACCCATCCTTTTCCAACCTGCTTGGCTCACTCTCCACACTTTATAAGAACCATGACACAATCGTTGCATGAGCGACACCCATCCGCAGGCGACGGTGGTGCTCAGCGGACGCCATCCGACACTTCGTCCAAACTTTGCCCCCGTCCTCCCGCGCGTCCCTCAAGCTTGTACACAGAAAACGCGAACATAAATCCGTTACTTCTACCCTCCCTCTCACACCTTCTGTCCGCGACCTCCACGGATCCCAGTCGGTGCTCGGGGCACCCACGAGTACCCAGTTGTTACACTTTAGAATACACTCACACACCGCCATGTTTTGTCGACTGTTCGAACACCTTTTCGCCGGCACTGGACGACCTCTCCAAACCACGCATACCGACTTATCTTCGTGGGATTGAGGCTGTTCCCGATTCAATTGCTTATAAGAAAACCGACAGTCCGCTGTTAGGACAGTACTGTCGTCTCCTCATTTTGCGGACTACGAATTCTGTGGTCCCGTCACCCTCAACACCGACTGGTTTACACAGTCCATCTGCTGAGACTCCCGTCACCCCCGTTTGATGACCAAACCTTCCGTGCAGTTTCTGTGGGTGTATGTGCGGAACAGATGCCTCCGAATTTCACACACACACACACACCTCATGTGATCGATTCCCTCCTCCCTGCCAATTGACCTTAACAGCTCAGCATCAGGAATCTCTAGTAATTTATTTGTACATGTTTATCTCTATTTGATCTTTTATCTTTCGTGAGGAATTTTAGTTGAAGTGTACTTTTCTCTTCACTGTTTTAGGTATTCTGTTTTTTTGCTACTTGAATAGTGTACGAACCATGTGCTCAGCATCACTTTCACTTCCCCATCAGTTTATTAAAACAATTTGTTTGATCATTTGTTTTCGTACTTTTCTTCTTTTTGACCATGTGGGACTCGGAATCACAGTGGGACTGCATCGGCTTATACATTTGTGGCGGTAACTGTTTGAACGAGTCTAGTTATGACGGATCCCACGTAAAACTTCACCACCCCCACTACCGCTGCTCTCCTGTAGACTCTCTATCTACACCATGGTTTGTTTTCCTTCGCGGCCCAGTAGGTTATTCTAGATTGCACTTATCTTGTGAGTTCAGATTCACCCGTTCCAGAAATGTTAGTAATTAGGTGTCAGAAAAATAGTAGAAATCTTCGAAATTCGAAGTCGCCGTTTCGTTTGGTGACGAACTTCAGCAGAACACATCAGAATTTGCGGATTTTGAGCGGTTCTCCGAACTGAGTGATTACTGTGCAGACGTTTCGTTGCCTGACCAGGCAACATCATCAGTGCGGCTTCCGGGGCCTGGTTCGCAGAGCCTCGTAAGCGGCTTCAATGTCCAAGTGCTTATTGAAGGAGTTCTGCATGGAATGCCAGGCTTCAATGAACTTACATGCTTGCCGGCTTTTAGTCCTTCCGAGGATACTGGCATGCTCTATGTCGAAATGATGGTTCTCAGCATCCATATGCACTGACATCAGGGAGTTCTGATCGTGGCGACGTATGGCTAGGCTGTGTTCGTGTAGCCTTGTGCCAAGCTTTCTCCCAGTCTGTCCCACGTAGTATTTGTCACAGTTCCGGCAGCAGATCTTATAAATCACACCAGTTTCTTCCTCTTTGCTAAGTTTATCTTTCACAAAGTTGCACACCAGCCAGCAGAAACCATTCGCAGTAAACTCTTCAAAGTGAAGTCATGGGCTGCCTCCGACAATGAGGGAGAGCAGCCCCTACCCACTGGTGTCATAACGCTAGCCGTGTCCCATGTCTAGCGAAAACTCCTCCACGGTTGACTATGGCCGCAGTTTTGTCATTATTACGATCACTAGCATTCATCAATCCTCTTAACTATACTCATGCTCCGAGTGTCGGATCTCAGGTATATCTTCTTTTAGCTCTGCAGTCACCTACTCCTCACAGTTTCACAGGTCTGAACGAGTCAAGAGCTCCGTGCAGGGAGTCTCTTAAGCAAACCTCACTTTACACTCCGTTTTGACATTCAGTCTATCGAACAGCATTTCTATCGGATGACGCGCAGTTAGAGAATACCATGTGCCCACCTACTTTCTGGGATCACTATCATCCCACTGTGTTTGGCGAACGGCTTGGGAAAACATCTTACTCTTCGTGGGCTCGGTACCACGAGAAATATACCCTATTATTCTTGTTATTATTATTATTTACAGAGGAGTAGTAGGGGAGTTGAATGGTATAGGTTGAAACTCATCACATCTAGACTCACTCAGACAGTTGTCACACGCCCGGAAAAGCACTGTACACGCGTTTCATCCTTTAGGGAATCATCAGCAGTACGCATTCCGTCGGACCCTTGGTAGAGCTCGAACGCGCAACTCGACTGTTGCCAGTCCGTGGTTGAGACCACTGAGCTACGGGGGACGGCAACGACCATCGTGAATATGTTACTAAAAGTGATATAGCGCCGCTCACTATCCACTGACTTACACGTTACTGCCGTGCAGAGGACAGGATAGCCCCTCGCCAAGCGACGAGCTTACCAAACTTAAGCCGCCAATTAACTTATGGCATTATAAGCAGTTTGGTCTGCGTACTGATTACAGAGGAGTAGTAGGGGAGTTGAATGGTATAGGTAGAAATTCGTCACATCTAGACTCACTCAGACAGCCGCCCGGAAAAGCACTGTACACGCGTTTCATTCTTTTGGGAATCGTCAGCAGTGCGCATTCCAGCGGACCCTGGTAGGGCTTAAACCCGCAACTCAACTGTTGGCAGTCAGTGGTTAGACCACTGAGCTACTGGGGACGGCAACGACCATCGTGGATTAGTTACTGGATGTGATATAGGGGGCTACCCCGCACGTCACTAACGTGTATGTCAGTGGATAGTGAACGGCGCTATATCACATCTAGTAACTAATTCATGATGGTCGTTGCCGTCCCCCGTAGCTCAGTGGTCTCAACCACGGACTGGCAACATTCGAGTTGCGGGTTCCAGCCCTACCAAGGGTCCGATGGAATGCGCAGTGCTGACGATTCCCGAAAGGATGACACGCGCGTACAATGCTTTTCCGGGCGTGTAACGGCTGTCTCCGTGAGTCTAGATGTGACGAATTTCTACCTATATTATTATTGTTATTACTTTTTCCGTACCTTCTCTCGTCGATTGCATGGCGCATTCGCTTCCGGCTATTGTCTTTCCTCTGACTTAAGTAATGTTTGAATCTTGGGTCCTGGGGCTTTTCCTTGTCATCCGTTAGTTTACCGAAATAAATTGTTCGATCGTTTTGTCCGTCTAGTTTGGACTCTGGTTATAAGTTTGTCCGGATGTCAACGTTACAATGCAACTGTGTCGGTTGATGCAGCCGTAGTATTTTCCCTTGGATATTAACGACTGTCTGACCAATGATGAATTATATGTGAAGCCCTTACCGCTCCCTTGTACACATTGTGTCCGCGCACATACGATGACTGGTGTTTGCCTGTCGTTGGAATGTTTGATAGAGACTTACTATCGACGTGAGACTGGCTGCTCTTGCAGGACATTTTCGCATTTCCGCCTTATGTGACATGAGCCGCGGACTAGACTATATGTGCTGTTGACTTGATTAATTAAGTAACTGTTAATTTATGTTGTAAATGTTGCTCGTCTGTACAAACTTCCTCCTAAATATTTCCGTTACTTCCACTGCGCTACCCCTTGCTTTCTCAATTGTTGCGTTTACAGTTTCCGATGTGACAGCGTCTCACTTCAATCAAACTACTTGCTGTCATCAAACAGTTCTCCTCTTCGCAGATGGCATCGTGGTTATTTTGAGACACGGGATGTCCTACGCGATGAAGTGACTCAGGAAATGGATGCGAAGTTCTGACTAAATGTGCACAGCTTTACTCGCGATCTGAATACCTGTTAAGGCGATGTTTGTTTCAATCTTTCCCGTCGGTCACCCTCCTTTGTAGCCGATCCCTCGCATCTGACTTACTGTTCAAGATGCTGTCGAATTCATGTGTCATGAGATTTACCGATCAAACGGGACAATTTTTTACGCTACCTCTACGTCTCGCCCAATGAGTAGATGATACGCGATGTATTGTTTCAGCTGTTGACCTTGCAGCCTTTATGTCCTGGTTTTAATTCCCTGCTCCTGCAGTTGTTTGTGCTCCCCTTGAATTATCGCAAACAGCGAATAAGCGTTTTTGGCGCTTGTACGACATCGAATCCTCTGCACCGTGTTCCAGTGTAGTGCTCCTTGGAGTGGGACAACTCGGTATACCTTCTGTTCTCTTATTAACCGTTACCAAAATTCGAATATCGAATCACAGTCATTCCCCTTGGAATACGTACACCTTGCGACAAATGTCAACCCGGACCTTGTGAACAAACGGGGTCAGAATGTCGGTAGAACGCTCAATGAAACATCTGTCGCTCGTTCCTAAGATCACCGGGTATGGTAGCCTAGTTGATCCCTCCCCGGTCACCCTTGGTCCAGCTGGTGAACGCATTCCATAGCCGGCGAGTGATTTGATCTCCTCAGCCTCTGGAAGTACTCACATTAATGACGGATCCCGATGATTGTTCTCTTCTTTTCATGATTTGTGTCGGTCTGATATTGGATGACAAATCTCCTTGAAATCCTACAATTGCTCTGATAGCTCTCTTGTACAACCATGGTAAACATCGATAAATGCCCCACACTACTGATGGCGCCTGTCACAGCTGATTACTAGTCTGCACAAGTTGAAATGTGATGGCAAACTACTTGGAGAGGATTGTTAACCATCGAAATTGAACTGAAAAGCTACTGATCAAGCATGTTAGGGTTATATCGGGGAGCGTTTATGTAAACGTATCGGAATACGAGGGTTTGAGCAAACAAGACAACCTAAGCTTCCTGATGGTGGGGGGTCATTTAACCACATCATCTAACCGGTGTCTCGTGTGCTAATATTCCACGTGTTGTATTAAACACAACGATCACTTGGGTAATTTTTTCAAACCTTTGCATTGTAAGCAGACCGCTAAGCACCAGTTTCAGACATTTGTCTCGGCCACACTGGCTTTGTTGTTCACAGCTCAGAACGAGGTGCAGTTGGCTTGCATATTGATTTTGGAGAGCACTGAAGTCTTTCTCAAGTACCACTTGTCATGAACATCCAGTTACCGTCCGTCACGAGTGGTTGTAATTACGGAAACTGAGTGTTTGCGTGGGTGAATTCCCAAAAGGATTTTCACTTCTGTGCAATGGACCATATCGCTTTTACTCGTATCGGAATAAATATTTAAAAACCGTTTGGAATGATGAGGCTGAAGAACCCAAATGAAAAAAGCGAGCTATTTTACTCCTCTTACTTAAGGTATACTGAAGCGTGCACCGGTTGTCCTTTCCCCTGAGGTGGGCCAAATTAGGTCAGGTCAGGTCTTCAGGGACGAAACAGTCGTTCGCCCAACAGGCTTCCCGTTTTGTGTACCGGCAAGTAGGCCAAGACCCCCGGCACTTCGACGTTCAAACTTCACTTCTGCAGAGACAAAAAGGAGTAACAGGAATTTCTCATAACTTCATGAAACTATTCGTGGCATCCTAACGACCACGCGGTATTCGATATTAGTTAGAATCCACTAACCTCCGTTAGATTCTGGAAACAGAGTGGACCAAGTCATATCTAAGGCTCTATCATATTACATTAAAATAGTGTACGGGAAACTAAATTCCAACTACGCCGTTGGTGGAACATTTCTTCCGGTTATCCATCTGGACGTCTACTTCATGGGTTTCAGAGGGTGTCCCCGCAGGTGGTCTGACGTAGCTAGTTTAAAGAGATCGGTGGGCTTGATGCCACTGAGACCCTTCATAATCTTAAGCTTATCTTAATCTCCCCCTTAGTCTGCATCGT